GCAATAGCAAACCACCTCTGAATGTCTTTTGCCTTGAAAAAACGTGTGGGGTGGCCATAAGTTGGCTGTGGCTTGATGGCAATTTTTTAAAAAGAAAAATCCTGATTACTGTTTAAAGTGCATTAAACTCTTTGTCTTCCGGTTTGTTTCTGGACAGTCTCATCGAAAGCCAGATCTTTTCTAGAGCTGAGCTTTTTGGGCAGGCTGGCTATGTAATTATTTTTTTTTAACAAATCTATACTGTCTTGCAGTGAAATTTAGAAATGCTGATAAAACTATCATAATAGCACTATAAAGCCAAACCTCTCTGTTAGAACATGTGCAGTAAGACAACACATGTGACATATAATATTTAACACATTAAAACAGAGAATTTTGGGCAACCATCGCTAATTTTGTCAGGTGTCTGTATGTAAGGTTTTGCCTTTCTTCTAGGAAGGTAAAAAATCATAAGCCTGAGGGGTCCTCTCCTGCCATGCTGTGTATTGGGAGAAGTGTAAATTAGAGTTGCTGACCTCCAAGTGAGGCCTGGAGTTCTCCTGAGATTTCAACTGATCTCCAGTTCCCTTGGAGGAAATGGCAGCTTCTGAGGGTGGACTCTGTGGGCATCACACTCTCGCTAAACTCCCACCCCAACCTCTACCCTCTCTAGGCATTGCCATCAAATCTCCAGGAATTCCCCAAGATGGAGTTGGCAACCCTGAGTATGCAAGTTGGATTGGGAACATTTTCTCTTTTCTGTATTGGGTCACGTTGCATTTCCATCTGATGTATATATGCATTGGAGGCCCCAAAACAACTTTTTTTTGGCTTTCTGCACTCTTTTGGCTGTCTATTTCTAGATGGGTCTTCCTCTGTCCAGGTTGGAAGATGAGGGCCGGAGCTGAGCACCATGCTATGGAAGCAAGTCCCCCTACATTTGAGTGACTCTGCATGGCTGTTGAAAAACTTATATGTGTTGGAATGTTGGCTGCAGAGATGGTTGAGTGTGCAGGGATATGGGCTGAAGATTTTGTGAGTGTAAAGGGATATGGGAGTGCATTCCACTGGCTCAGACTTGGCTCTGCACACTGGAAAAGAGGAAATTGTGGGATTTTTGTTGAGTGTGTCAGGAATGCATCTGCTGGAGTCTTTTCTGGTTTTATGCATGTATGTGTCTTCTGTCCTTTTGTGAGAGTGTATGTGTGCCTATTAATGCATGCAGTGTTTTGTGTGTCTCCGTGTTTTGGAAACGGCAAGGTGATGAGCATTTTGGAATTTCATCTTGTGACCTAAGGCTCCGTAGGGATCTCTGTCTTTATGAGACCCTGATGCAGTGTGTGTCCATGCATGCATAGGCAAGTGTGTTTGCGGCATCATTTATTACTGTGCTTACTGGCCGTGTGAGAATGCTGCCTCGTTCTGTGCATGTAACTACGGTCTGTACATGTTGGTAAGGTTTGTGAGTGTGTGCGTGCGTGCGTGCGTGCTCAGGAATGTCAGGAGAACCCATTCTTGAGTGGCCTTTGGTTATCTTGTCAAAGTTGTGGGGATGATGTGAACTACAGCACCACAGGTCCACTTAGGATGTGTGTGGATATTAATACCATGTGCATGCAGAGGGTTACTGAGAATGTATTTTGCTGCAGTCCTGTCTCTGGCTCTGTGTGCCGACAGAGTAAGGGGTGGCGGAGGGGAGGGGAGAGAGGCATTGTCTGGGACTGATCTGTGTGCTGGGCACGCACTCTGCTACAAGTGGGTCTCTAGAAAATGGCTGAGAGTGAGTGAAATGCCTGGGCCCCAGATCCTTCCATCTTCTCTCCGCTCTGAGAGGGGAGGGGTTTTCAGCTTGCTCCCGAAGCCCCAGCTGCATTTCCCTCCTTCAGAAGGCCCAGGAGCATCTCTTGAGTCAGAAGGCATTTCTTTGGGAATGGATGTCTTAATTGCCATTCTTTCGCAAGGCGCTTGAGCACCTCACTTACATGGCTGGCAGAGATGGGTGCCTGCAATTTCTTTTCCCTAGCCTGGGCCCCATCAAGAAATGTGCTTGGCTTGGCTTGGCTTAGTTTGAGTAATTTACTATTCAGCTCCTCCCACCCACTCATGCTGACACACTGCGTGTGTGTGTGTGTGTGTGTGTGTGTGTGTAACTACAGGCAGCAGAGTTTCCCCTCTTTGCCCTGCTGTTAAGTTCTCATTAGTAGATGTGAGGTATGGTAAGGCTTTGAGGCTTGTCTTAAAAGAATAGCTTCCCTTTGCCACTGATGGGTATGCCTGCACTGATCTTTGTTGATGCCGTTTGATAGAGGTAGTGAAGCTCTGGGGGCAATCCCATGATTCCACTGATACATTTCTCTGGCTTCTGGATCCTGGGAGCTCTGCTTTGCTCTGGAGTGAATAATGTTCAGGTGTCTTTAGCTCCTGCAGTCCTCACACCCTTCCTGGTTTCACTGAAATGTTCAGTGCTGCTTCTGTGAAGTGCTGGCTCCCCTTCCGGCTGCATGTGGTGTGAAGTCCTTGTGCTCATGTTGTGGATTCACATGTGCGTCTGCTGGTGAGGAAATATAGTTACCTGTTCTAGTAAGGGCTGGCATAAATTGCAGGCACAGGTGCAGATTAGAGATGGGGAACTCTAAGCAAAGTGAATTGCAGTGGAGTCCAGTAGCACCTTCGAGACCAACAAGAGTTCCAGGGTATAACCTGTTGAGAGTCAAAGCTCCCTTCATGGGACACGAGTGATCCACCTGAACTCACCTTGCTTAGCATCTAGAGTCCTTCTCTTGGTATTGATGTTATCACTGTTCCTCAACAACTTAGGGAGGGAGGGAGGGTGCATTCCCTGAGGCTGGAGAATCTGGTAGGTGCCCTTAACAGTCTGAAATGAGAGGCAATCTAGAGTCTGCCAAGATATGTATTTTTATTTTATGTGAGGCAAGGAAAAGGAGTGCACTTGGCAGGATGGAAGTGGTATGCCAGAGACTTGCACACCTCTTCTAACTATTGTGAAGAAACAAAGACAGCTGCCAATTCCTTCTATAAACCATAGATCCTGACTCCTGGGCCTGCCTGTCTCCTTGTGGGATCTGTGTGGTTTCTCCCACACAAAAATAAGGTGAATGGCTAAGAAAAGAAGTAGTTTTCTCGAGTGTGAAGGCTGTCAGAGTGGGTGAAGGCCACCTCCAATTGTTGTTAGATAGGCAAAATAGGATTAACATTAGATCTAATGCACAATATCTAGGAAAGGTACAGAGCGAAATGCAAGATGTATAGTGACCCATATTGAGTGAGGAGTTCTAGGTGAAGGGTGCAAATGGTCTTGAATTTGTTAATGAATTCTAATTCAGTGAATTTCAAAGAATTGTATTCTTCCTTTGAAGTTCCTTGTCTAAGAAGAGTAACTTTTAGATTAACAACACAATGCCCTGTAAGACTGATATAGGGGTTGAGGTTCCAGGTAGGAATAGGTTGAGTCAACTAAGCCAATGCCAGCCTACTCAGGGCTTGTGAGAATTCTCATCTGGCTCATCTTTTCATCAAAGGCATCTTTATAGCTTTGCTGAAGTGCCCGTTTCATGTTTGTGTCACATCTGCTCATCATTTACCCCCTTCCATCTCTCATGAGCATGTTTTTTTTTTAAAGATTTTATTATTTTCAAAGATAGGAAAAATAGGCAACACAAACACACAAAGACAAAATAGACATGCCACACAAAACAATACAGAGTCTATACTCAATTAGCTGATTAAGTCTATCTATAGAGGTCCCGTTCACACGAGGGGATTTGGGCCGGGAGCGGGACGGTTCGGGGGCGGAGCAAAAAGCCTCGATCACAACACAACATCTGGGAAGCGTAGTGCTTCCGTCCCCGAACTGGCCCATCCACGCGATAATCCGCATCAAGTTGGAACCACCTACCGAGGTGGTTCATCTCAATGGTGCACCGCAAACCGGGAGTCTGATCGCCGGCGCGTCCTTGCGCCGGCACGTCCCCGGCTCCTAGCTGAACTGCGCATGCTCCGACATGCGCAGTTCGGCTGGCTCACCGTCAGATCTGTGTTTTCTCCCCGGCGTCTGATCGTGCCGGGGAGAAAAGGCGGCGCAGCCAGGGGATCCGTGGGATCCCGCTGCGCCGTTTCAACTTTGGCGCGGCTTTTAAAAGCCACGCTTTTTGGCGGCTTTTCCCCTGCCGTGTGGCAGGGGCCATAGAATCTAGTCTAGTTACACCTGTATCTATTAGCTTTTCTGACCATTCGCACTCATATTTCAGTTCTTAAATTTTCTTAAGATAGTCCTCCAACCATTTATATAATCTTGACCAATTTCAACAAAGGTTGCTTCTTTTTTATCTTGTAGCTGTAAAGTTATTTTGTCCATTTCTGCTGTTTCAAGTAGTTTGTAAATTATTTCTTCTTTTGTTGGGACTTCTTCTTTCTTCCAGTACTTTGCATATAAAATCCTAGCCATAGTTACAATGTGTTCAATCTCATGAGCATGTGTGTGTGTGTGTGTGTGTGTGTGTGTGTGTGTGTGTGTGTGTGTGTGGTGTGTGCATTGTGAACCCTGACACTAACGACTATTAACTGTTCCACAGATAATCATTAGTGAGAAATATCTTTTATGGTGGGACAGTGGAGCTTTTTGTGGCATTGCGGCTTAGTCTCTGTTGTTTATTTTTGAATAAAATGCATACAGTCCTTGATAAGAAGGAAAAGAGAGAACATTCCATTGCTGAATGGAAAGGCAAAAGGCTCAACATGAGTCTTCTCCTTTTATTCTGGGATAAGGGGTGGGCTTCAATTTAAGCATTGCCTTCCTGGACTTAGACCATCCAGGCTACTATGCTGTTTCCTAGAGCCGCCAGCCTCTGAAAGCTTATAGCATGAAGTTAACAGACTGTCTGTTCCCAGCAGCTGGAGCTGGTTTCATTGAGCTATCATGGCTCATAGCTGTTGAGGGCTGCTGTCTAGTTTCCACTACTGTATATGCACTAATTGAGCTTCTTCTTTTCCTCTCTCTGCAGCTGTACAGTGCTTGGACGGTGACAAGCCCTGTGAGAATGGTGGAACCTGTGTTGTTTACTCCAATGGGATTCCTGCCTGCATGTAAGTGGTGCCTCCTTACAGTTTGAGCTACAGGCTCAATGACATCTAGTGCTTTGAATCTGTTTGAGGCTGGGGTGGGTGTCATTGCATGAGAGAACAGCGCAGGCTGGGAGCAGGAAATTTTTGTTGTGGATTATTTTTATGTGCGTTTGAGCAAGAGAGCAGTGACTTCTGTTCACGGGTACCAAGATAATGTGGGGAGTGTGGTGCCTGAAAGCTCTTTGTAGGCTATAGTGTGAGGTGAGTATTAGTAGCACTCGAGGGAAGGAATATGCACTGTCCTCGTCTTGTCAAGGTCAAGATGCTGTGTCAGGCACTGGAGTGAGCAAAGTCTGAAGAACCTGTCTTAACTACTGCATGTTTGGGCCTGTGGGGATTGGGAGCTCTGCCTGCTGACGGGTGCAAATTTGGCTTCCTCTGTATACTTCTGATGTCTGTGACACTGTTTGCTAGGGGCAATCTGAGTAATTTGATCACACCATCCAACTGCAACCAGTGTGGTGGATTGAGTAGAGTTCTGGACTAGAGGTGTGTATTTGGCTTTGCTGAATGGAATAAATACTAAAAAAAACTGGTAATTTTTGAGTATGTATTCTTTAATCTGATTCAGCTACTGATAAAGTGCTCCCAAATAAAAGCCAATCTTATTTGGCTTTTATTTGGGTGGCCATCCCCGAATCGGGGAGGGAAGGGAAAACAGATTGGGGAGGTATCTTTAAATGCTGCCCCAATCTATCTTTGCTTCGCCAGCCGGCCTGCCATGGTGGCTGGCTGGGAAAGCAAAGGGGAGGCATCTTTAAAAGCGGCAGCTTGATCTCTCTATTTTAGCCTGTGGGGCCCTAGGGTACAATGGAGAGATCGTGCCACCTCTGCAGCGCGACTCGAGACAGAATGTTTAATGTTTAAACCCTTTCTCCATTGTAACCTATGGTCCCATAGGGTACAGTGGAGAGATTGTGCGGCCACTGCAGTGCAACTCCAGAAAATGGGTTTAAAATTTTTAAACCCCTTCTCTCTTCACTTCCCCAGCCAGCTGCCTTGAAAGGCCGACTGGGGAAGCAAAGGGGAAGGCATTTAAAGATGCCTCCCCGATTTGTCATCACTTCCTCAGCTGGCCTGCCGTGGGGGCTGGCTGGGGAAGTGAAGGGGAGGCATCTTTAAAAGCCTCCCTAATCTGTCTTCGCTCCCCCAGTTGGCCTGCCAAGGCAGCTGGCTGGGGAAGTGAAGGGGAGGGAGAGCGGGTCGGTTTCACTCCCTCGCCACTTGGAAGTGGAGGGGTGTGTGAAACTGACATGCTCCAATGGTCAGTGGAATATTTTTGGAAATGTCAAGTGTTTCCTGAATCCCAGTATAATACCAATACTGGGATTCAGGGATGTTCATATTTGATTTACCAGAATCTGAAAAATACCATCCCCCCATGCATACCTCTATTTTGGACTTGGAATATGGGAACATGGGTTCGAATCCCTCATCAACCGTGACGTTAATTGGCTGACTGTTAGCCAGTCAGTATCTTTTGGCCTAAACTACCTTGTAGGGTGTTTTTGAGGGCTGAAAAAGGAGAACCCCCATGAAAGCTGCCCCTGCATTCCTTGGGGAAGGATGAGGTAGAAGTATGACGAACAGCTCTCTGTAATGGGGGAAAGGGAACCCCCCCCCCCGCTTTCTGCTCACTTTGACTATGTTCACAGAGGCACATTAGGATATGAGAAACATTGTCTGAGAGAGAACTTACTTCCCTTGTTGTAATAAGGATCTGTCCACATGGAGGCTTGTTGCCTCCATAAATCTGAAATCCCTTGGGTCTATTTTCCGCTTCCTATAAGTAGTGTTTTTGGCAGGTACCCTGCTAAAGGGGGGGGGGCACAGACATGTTGATGCTGGTACTAGATAGTGTTTATAGCTGATTCTGGCAGTATACTTAACAGCTTCTTTCATTTTTGGGTAACATATATGCTACACTGGGAGAATTCACAATGGGAAGCCTGTCTGACAGATGCCTATGACAAAACGATGATTTCAGCAGTAGGTTGCACATTTGTGCCCACAAGGTGCGGGAGTTAAGTCATACGGCCTGAAAGTTTTCTAGTTCTGCCTCATCAGATGTGGATGGGGGCTATTTGGGCCTGAGTTCCAGCTCTGACTTCCTTAAGTTGCCTTTCCAGCTAGCAGGTGTAAGAACTAATGCAGCAAGTTCCTAGCTGCCTGTGCTGGAATCCAGGACAGGTGGATCTGCCTGCAGCTGCCACACCCAGAACAGGTGAATCACCGGGAGGCCCGACACCTGGCCTGGATCCCTGGATGGGATGTGATAGGACATGAAAACACTAGCGATTGGCTGTAAGCCCTGTTCTGGAGTCCATAGCCAAAGCGTCACTGTCCAGCACAGAGAGGGGCATTGAGCCAAGCCTTCCAAGGCTCAGAGATGCTAGTGGGGTTTCTGAGGAATTTAGAATGTGTTCTGCAAGGGATTTAGGAAAGAGGAAGAAAGGGGAAGGGAGCTCCTGGCAGCGTGGTCTGAAACCTGTTGGACAGGTTGGGTGGAGAGACCTGGGAGTGCCCAGAGCTGAAGGGAAAAAACCACTCTCCTCTTCTTCCCCCCACTAAACACCTGCTAAGAGGCCTCTTACAGGGGCGGTCACTTTTTGGCTTCTGTGGTCTCTGTGATGCCAAGAGGTGGACAATGGGTGGTGCCCATTTTGGTTTTGCCTCTCTCTCCCTCCCACCTCCCCTTCTTTGTGGCGTGTCTTGGTGAAGAAGGTGGGGCTTGGATTAAGGCTTGCTACACTCGTCTCAGAGGGATGTGACTAGGCCTGCTTGAGAAATGGGAGGTGTAGCTACCACAAAGAGAGTGTAAGGAGAAACTTTAGCGGGGGGGGGCAGTGGACTTGGATGGAAACCAGAATGTGACCTGGTAAGATAGGTAAGAGTGTGTGTATTGTCTGAATAATACTAAGACTTAAACTAAGGTGTGTGTGTGTGTGTGTGTGTGCTGGAGGGTGGGCAACTGAAAACATTCATTGTCGTGAAACAGAGAATACAGATTCTAATTTGACATTTACAATATCAATTTGTGCCTCTTGGCTTTTATATTTTTTGACAGTGTGTGCCTGTTTGTAAGGTGGACAGATGCAAAGGAGGATAGGGCTCGTGTAACTTTAATAGTTTTGACAGCTGTAGTGTCATGCAGGAGTGAGACCAGCTGCACTTGATAAATTCTCCCCTGCTACATAGGTGTTAAATGTATAGGATCCTTGTCCCTCTCTGTATCTGTCTTCCTTCACGCTTCTGATTCTCATAGAGGGCAGAGTAACAGAGATCTAAAATTCCTGAGTACCTTGAAAACTAAGGTAAAAATGGGTGTTTTGGGAAGTTTTGGGAAACTCTGAGATACATTCAGTACTTAGGACATTGAATTCATTATGTATAACAATTAGGGATGTACAGATTTTTAAAAATCAATATTTTTGGGATCCAGGTATCAGGGCTCTGAAAAATATTAGTATTCTCAGTTTCCCAGATTTCAAATACCAGGTTGGTATTTCAATCCGTGTTTTTTCTCCAGGATTCTGATGTTTTTTGGCTCCATTATTCACTATGGGAAATCTTTCCAGGGGAGCTGTTAGGGCTGTTTTTAAAGCTAGTGGCACCAAAATTGCTGCAGAGCTGCTGGTGTCTCTCCTTTAAATAACTGCCAGTTTTCAAGTGAATTGGACCAAGAGGTTCAGTTCTGTGGACCCCTGAATAAGGAGCCTTCAGCTACCCGCCATTAATTCCTAAAGGGAAAAATATGTTAAAAAAAAAGAAGAAAAAGAAATATAAAACCCAAAAATCTATGCCAAGGTACAACTCAAGAATCACCCAAGCCAAACCAAATGGAACTTTGTTGCAAGCCTAGCAAGTGTAAAATCAGGTAAATGAACCAATGTACACCCTGAGAATCTACAGCAGTGTCAAACCCAAGAATCCACTGAAAAAAACAAACCTAATGCAAAGCAGCTCAAGAAAAGAACACAACTTTGCAAAGTCAACAAAAACAATTTAAAAGGGCATAATCTAAGACAAATCTGAGAAGACACAGATATAAGGGGGGTGGGGATCCTGGAAAATCTCTTGTACCATCCGGAGACTTATACACACACACACACACACACACACACACACACACACACACACACATCATTATTTATCAAATTTATACCCCGCCCTCCCCCGTAGGGCTCAGGGCGGCTCACAAGGCAAGATAAACTTGCTACCATAAAACAACAATATATCCATAATTTAAAACGTACTATACAATTTAAAAGAAACCCAGTCCTAAATCACATAAAGTGCTCAGTGATAATCAGAACTCTAAAATCCAAGATGACGGGACAGATCCAAAGACAGTTCTTAACAGGCAGTCTATAGCATCCCTGTTCAGATGTTCTAATAGTCCTTCTCAGGGGCTCCTCTCAGGGCCTCTTCCAACCCCCCCAAGAAGGTAACGTAGTGGGGGGGGGGCGGCCCCTACTCGAAAGCCCGGTGGCAGAGCTCCGTCTTGCAGGCCCTGCGGAACTGCATCAGATCCCGCAGGGCCCGGATCTCCCCCGGGAGCTCATTCCACCAGATAGGGGCCGCCACCGAAAAGGCCCTGGCCCTTGTAGTGGCCAATTTTACATCCCTGGGGCCCGGGATGGTTAACAAATTTTGGGCCCCAGACCGTAGTGCTCTTGGGGTAACATACGGGGAAAGGCGGTCCCTCAGGTAGGTTGGACCCAGACCATATAGGGCTTTATAGGTAAGAACCAGCACTTTGAAGCGGATCCGGTACGCTATTGGCAACCAGTGCAGCGCTTTCAGTGCAGGCTGAATATGGTCCCTTCTAGAGAAACCCATTAACAGCCTGGCCGTATGTATGTATATACATACACACACACGCGCGCGCGCGCACACACACACACACACATATATATACACACACTGATATTTTTGTACACGCATACACACACACAGAG